AAGAGAACCCCTCCACAAACCTCATATAATACCCAGCTAAGCCCAAGAAACGTCAAATCTCTGTTAGAGTTGTAAGTCTAGGTCAATTCTTCACAGTTGGAATGTTTAGAGGATCAACATTGATTCCCTCACTATAGACAGCATGACCCAAGAAATGATAGAGCTAAACCGAAATTTGTATTTAGAAAACTTCCCATAAAACTTGCGCTGATATAGAGTTTGCAAAAGTTCCTTGAGGTGATCGAGATGGTCCTCTCGACTTTGTGAATACACAAGGATGTCGTCAATGAAAACTATCTAAAAAGAGTCGTGGAAAGGATTGAAGACTCAATTCGTATAATCCATGAAAGATGCTGGAGAATTCGTTAGCCCAAAAGACATTACTAGAAATTCAAAGTGCCCATACCGAGTCCTGAAATTTATGTTTGGAATATCATGATCCCTGATCTTCGAGTGGTGATATCCTAATATTAAATCAATCTTAAATAAGAACCTAGCACCTTGAAACTGATCAAACAAGTCATGTATCCGTGGCCAGTGGGTACTTATTCTTGATTGTGACCTTCTTAAGTTGCCGACAGTCGATATACATCCTCAAGGCGACACACTTAGTCGGATAAAACCCTTTTCTAGCAAGTCTTTCAATTGCTCTTTCAGTTCCATCAATTCTGCCGGAGCCATTCTATAGGGTGGAATTGATATAGTGTTTGTTCCCCAAGTACACGCAAGTATACGTGGATGTCAAGTAATAAAGTGACTTGAATGCCGGATGTCGAACCCACAGAGACTTATATCAATCGTTAACTAAGCAAACTAAAGTTAGTTAATTGTCCAAGATAACCAAAAGTTGGTTTTTATATTACAACTACAATTGCAAAATTTAGACACATAACCAAGGGAGGTATAGAAACCAGGGGTATGGTCGGTTTATCAATCCTATTAAGTTCGTAATTACACCTGTTAATCCAAATTATCTATGATTGCTAGTTGACCAGATCATTCATATAAATAGCATGTTCCCACAATACTATCCGTCTATCCATAATATATCAACCCTATATTCCTATGATCTTGAATCTATCGTGAATGAATATAATATGGTATTCAACTAAACAAGACGGTTAGGTATATTCCTATCCTAACCGCGAAATCTTTTCCCAACCCATGGGTTCAAAAACAAGCTCTCTCTAATTCTACTGTAATCTAAACACGGCTTTCCCAGGCATAACAGAGATAGTAAATAGAACTCATGAAAGGCCCCGTGAAATTTTAGCTAAAACCTGGAGTTTCATGGTGTCAAGTTAGATTTATGTGTTGTAATAGTATAAATTCTTCACGGCGAGTACGCTACTGAGTTAAAGGAAAATGTTTTGCAGAGGTGTGCATTTCTACGGCCTATTATGCTGCCGCATAATCACTCTACGGGCCGCAAAATGGCCGCAGAGTGAGGCAGTCTTTTTGGCCAAATTTTGATGTCATTTTCGCAGCCCATTATGCGATCACATATCCACTTTACGGGCCACACGTTGGTCGCATAATCTTCCTCATACTTTTGTGAAGGGAGGTTCTACGGCGCATTATGCGACCGCAGAACAGGTCTACAGACCGCATAATGGTTGCAGACCGAAGCAGAAAATCAGGCCCTTGAGAGCCACTTTTCGCGGTCATATTGCGGACCGTATATCCGTGCCGGGGCTCCAGATTTCTAATTTTTTAACCCGATCCCATGTCGCTATAACTTATACAATGGTTCATTTTATGCCTATTTCCTAGTACTTTTAGAGTGAGAAAGAGGGTCTAAGAGAGTGAAAGTGCCCTTCATCAAAATTACTCCACAAATTCTTTTTTAAAGTTTGAAGATTGTCAAGAGAGGCATATAGGTCTTCTTCCTAAGAGGTAAGACTCTATCACCCAAACATTTAAATTTTGAAATGTAACTAGAATGGGCCATTAGAGAGGTAATTCATGGGGATGGAAGTGATTATCTTGCATGCATGTGTTATAAAAGAGTGTAGGGAGCTTGTGAGCTAAAAATGGTGAAAAGATGGGTTGTGGGCTGATAGAATCTTTCACAAAAAGAGCTTAAAAGCATAATTCACCCCTAATGCTTGATAATGTGCTCAAGTGAGCTAGAATCTTGATCATTCTTCTAATTTATGGTTCAACTTGTAATGTTCATAAAATAGATTGAAGTTGCTAAGAGTTTCGAAATTTATTGTAAGAATTTAAGGAATGCTCAATTGAGGTATGTATGGCTAAAACCCCCTCTTCTTGGAATTGCACACCTTGGTGACCATGCAATTGGTGTAAGTTCCCAAATTTGATCGATATAGAAATTGCTATTCCAAATGTGCTTGTGTTGCAAATATATGTGCAATATGTGTTCCAATGCTCTCATTATGCTATCTTGTCACTTGAGGGTGCGTTAAAGATATGGAATAGGTGCTAAAATGCCTAGACATCAAATCGAGTTTGAGTAAAGATTGTTATGCCAAAATATGTGAAAGCCTCTATGTGCCTGTGATTTATAATTGCTCTTGTGTGCACTCAATTTCTTGAATTGAAAGGCTTGTTTATTGAAAATGATATTAATGTAAAATGTGGGAAAGATGTTGGATTATGAAATTCGGCCAAGTGCCAAGTATGACTTAATAATTACGACCACAAGTGCCGGTGGATTGATACATGTGAAAGAAAGATGAAATGAGATGATTGATGGAAAAATGATAATGTCTTGGGTGAGACGGCCCAGCCGATCGGGTCGTGATCGGACGCCATGCCGCACACATTGTGGTACTGTGCTGTAAATTGAATATTGGAAATTGGAAACTGGGAATTGAAAGTGAAATGGTGATTATGGTGAATGTCTCCAATGAGACAACCTAGCCGATCGGGTCGTGATCGGACTCCGTATAAAAGTACAGTGATACTGTGAATGATGAGGTATCGATACTAATGATGTCCCAGTTTAAAGCTATGGAAATTTCTTGAAAGCTTATGTGATCCTTAATTTGATGTTGTAGTGTTGTTTAAGATTTCCATTGATTCCATGATTATTTCTACTTGCATTATTGTTCAATCGAATTAGATGGTGTTTAGTTATACATACTAGTACTATTCGACATTACTAACGTCCCTTTTGATGGGCGCTACATCTTTTAATGGATATAGGTGGTTCCATAGCCGACAATGTTGATTGCAGTTACTGGTGCATTGTCTTCATCTTCTCAGCAGCCATGGTGAGCCCCATTTCTTCCCGGGGTTATGTAGTATATCTTCTGTTTATATGTTACCACGTTTTGAGGTATAGCCGGTGCCTTGTTGTCGGCGTTGTTATGACTCTCTTTTGTATTTGTAGAGGCTCGGTAGACACTATGTGGGTTGTATATAGGTATTGGAAAGGCCAATGGTTTATGTTGTGTTAAAACTCTTATTCCACACAGTCGCAAGGATGTGTGTATTATGAAACATAAAAATGATGTAATCTATGAAGCGATTTAGTAATGTTTACATGATCTTCCTAGTTTTTTAATAATTAAAGCATGCCCTCTTTTGATCATAAGTGAGTCGGGTAGAAAGTGTCTAAAAGGCTTGCTTAGTCGGGTTTACTCGATTGAGCGCTGATCGTGCTCCTTTGTTTTTGGGTCGTGACAAACTTGGTATCAGAGCCTAAGGTTTTAAAGTGTCCTCTGATGTCTCGGAGCCGTGTCTAGAAGAGCCCTTCTTATCGGTGTGTTGTCGACCACATCTATAATTAGGGGGCTACTTAGACATTTAGGAGTGACACCCTTCTTTGTTGATCCATATCATGCAATAGAGCTGAATGTGAGGCTATTCTCCTCTAACTCGTGCATTGTTCTAACTTTCAGTAAATGAAACCTAAGAAGAAAACAATAATTGGCCAAGAAGCCAATGCCACCCAGGAGTGGCTAATGATTGTTTAATTGATGGTGCAGGTGGGGATAATCCCTCGACTATTACACTGCCTGGTTCTTCGATACCTGAATGGACTGCACCAGCTCCCATAACTACCGAGAGTGAAACGATCCCTCTCACCGATATTCTTGTTCCACCTCCAGCCCCAGCTTCTAGTTCCGGTATTTCTTATGGGGATCTTAGGGGAGCTATCCAGATGCTGACACAGTTAGAGGCTTCTCAGCCCAGATATCAAATGTTGCACCCAACTCTTCTAGCCAGCAAGGGGATTCTATCAGTTCTAGGGTAAACCGATCTCTTTTTCCAGATCCTCCTATTCACGGGTGCAAATCCCGAGGAGGACCCCAGGATTTTATCGATGAGATGCACAAGACCCTCAAGGTTATGCGTACAACTGAAACAGAGAGAGTGGAGTTGGATGCCTACCGTCTGAAAGGGGTGGCCTATTTGTGGTTTTAGATGTGGTAAGACTCTCGTGAGGAGGGGAGCCCTCCGGCAAGGTGGAGTGAGTTTGCTGATGCCTTTGGAGATCAATTCTTGCCTACTGAGACAAAGGCAGTCTGTGCAGCGGAGTTTGAGAATCTAAAGCAAGGTAGCAAGAGTGTGTGGGAGTACCACATGGAGTTTGCACGCCTGTCCAAGTATGCTATTCACATGTTGCCCACTATGGAGGCGAAGGTGCGCCGGTTTGTTCAAGGCCTTAGTACTTTGACTACTAATGAGGCTTCTACAGCTGCCTTGAATTTTGATATGAATTATGGTAAGATGGTGGCATTTTCTTAGGCCACAGAAAACCGTAAATTGAAGAACATGATGGAGCGAGAGGGTAGCAGCAAGGCCCGGTCTACGGGCAACTTCGGGGATTCATTTTGGTGGGGGAAGATTAGCTTTCAGGGGAGGATCATCAGGGCCATCCCAGTCTGTTGCTCAATCTTCAGCCACTGCACCGCTATCAGGGCCAAGTCAGCAGCAATAGTGGAGTCGTTTCAGCCCACTTAGGGCAATAGGGGGCCCCACCGACAGTGTAGGTTAGGAAGGAGAGCCCAACAACAAAGAAGGCCCCCATGCAAAAGGTGTGGGAAGATGCACTGAGAGATTTGCTACATGGACTTGACCATATGCTATGGATGCGAGGTGAGGGGCCGTATTCAGAGGGAGTGTCGTGTATCCCGCTAGGGTGCGGGTAGGGGCAAAACTATCACGCCCCAAAACCGAGGGGCGCGACCAGCGCTCAACCGAGCAAGCCCGACTGAGCAAGCCTATTAGGTTTCATTCTACCCAAAATTAGTTTATGAATAATAAGGAGATGAACTCCATAAATCCTACTTTATGAGCATTACATTGACAATTTTTATCTTTGTCTTTTATTAACAATTCAACCATACTAACCAAATTATTAGAATTAATAGATACGAAGGTAACATTCTTCCAAATAACAACATATCTAGTTCAAATTTTTAATACCCGACGCCACCAACAATCTGTCTACGGAGCCTCTAAGTACAACTGAAGAGTAATATAGAAATGCCGGCAACAAGGCTCTGTTTATACCTCAAAATACAAGGTACATGATAACCAACGGTACAGGACCACGAAATGAAGTGGGGCTCACCAAGTCAGCTGAAAGGAAGATGCGTCACTAGCTGCGACCAACACTGCCTGCTATGGAACCACCTACATCCATTTAAAGACATAGCGCCCCCGGCAAAAGGGATGTTAGTGTCGTCGAATAGCACTAGTATGTATAACTAAACACCATCTCATTAGAAAGAACAACCATACAAGAATAAAGAAATTGTAAGGATCAACAAAGCTTTAAACAAACACCACATCATCAAATACAAATAAGGGATCACATAGCTTTCACACAATTTCCATAACTTTAGTTGGGGCATTTCATATTGTTGTATCATCATTCACAATACCACCGCTTTCTTGTGCGGAGTTCGATCATGACCCGATCGGCTAGGTTGCCTCATTTGAGACATGTACCACAGTCACAATTTTCATTCTCACTTTTTGGTTTCAATATTAGCATAATACCACCATGTGTGTAGCATGGCATCCGATCACGGCCCGATCGGCTAGGCCGTCTTACCAAGACGTTATTCCTTTTCCATCAATCATCTCCTTTCAATCTTCATTTCACATATATCAGTTCATAGGCACTTGGGGCCTCAATTATCACATCATACTTGGCAATAGGCCACATTTCATTATTCAAACTCTTTTCCTCCACGTTTCACATCATTTCCACATTCAACATTAACTTTGCAATTTGAGATAATAGACACATACAAGGGTAGTTAAAGTTGTAAGCATAGAGAGAATTCCACATAGTTTGGCACAACAATCTCAATTTAAACTTGACTTCATATCTAGGCATTCTAGCACATAGCTCGCATTCTTCACACATTCTCAATTCATCAAGAATAGCATATTGTGCACATTGAAACACACTTTCTGCATATAATCTTGCAACACCATTTCATCTGAAGTAACAAGTACTACATTTATAAATTTTTTGACTTACACATTGATATGGACGCCATGGAAGCTCAATTTCTAAGAAGAGGGGGCTTTAGCCATACATACCTCAAAGAGCTTTTCCTTATGTTTCTACAATCCACCGACACCTCTAGCAATTACAATATATAAGGAGATATCGGGAATCGATTATTAATTAGGAAGATTACCCATGGTGTAACTCTCTTAGGAATTTCACTAAACACATAACATGTGAAGTAGTCTACAAGGTCTGAAAATGGAAATTCCTTCCTCCCTCAACCAATTTTAACAGGAACTACCCAAATTAGTTCTTTATTATCACATACTACAACTTAGTCCCACATGCATGGCCTATTTCTAATACCCGCAACATATTTGAACACTTAACCTCTTACATGAAATCTTGGAAGAAGGACTTACCCGGATGGAGGACAATCAAGTGGTTATCTTCCTTGATTCTTGAAAACTTGAGCAAGATTTGGGTGATTATGAAGCTAGGCTCCTTCTCTCTCTTTCTCTCTCTATATGCTCTCAACTCTCTCTAAAATCAGTAGAAAAGTGACCCCAAATGAAGCCCCAAAGCCTATATATTAAAATGGGGTTGGGTTATAAAAATAGGAAAAATAAGCCTTCAAAATCAGGTCTGCGGTCGCATAATGGACCGCAAATCAAGAATGTGGGCCGCAAAATGCATCGCAGAACTGGTGCCCAAAATTGGGCTACACTTGTCCAGTTTGCGACCAGATTTGCGATCGCAGATCAATTATGCGGATCGCATAATGGTTTTGCCATCGCAGAACTAACACAGGATCGCATTTTTCCTGCCTTTGGTAATTTGATCATAACTTTGTGTAGGAAAGTCCAAATGACTAACGGTTTGAAGCGTTGGAAACTAGACTCGAAGACCCTTCATATGATAGATTGTTCATCATATAAAACCTTATATATATTTAGATATGCTCGATCAAAGTGTGGACTTGTGCAAACTTATTTGGAATTTTAGCCTATTATGAAATTTACCGATTTGACTTAGACTTAGGCCCCTCCTTGGACCCCACATTACATATTATACGACTTATACACTTATTTACCAAATACAATTGATTTCCATCATGTAAATAGCACATAAAATATTATAATTAGCCTACCTGGCACCACAAAATCCTAAATTACTTAGCGAAATTTTCCGGGGCCTTACAACAGCACATCCATCCCATCCAGCAGCTGCTGCATCTTTAGCACCCTCTCCAGCACGAGACACTCCAGCACCCGCAGAGCGAGGTGCAGCTAGGGATGGTGCGCAGAGTTCGGGAGGACCCAGCCGTTTCTATGCTATGATTGGTTGCCAGAGTGCAGAGGCTTCTCTAGATGTTGTTACAAGTATACTGACTATCCAATCTCATGATGTGTATGCTCTTAGTGATCCCGGTTCCACCTTGTCCTATGTTACCCCCTTATGTTGCTATGGAATTTGGGATAGAATCGGAATAACTTCATCAGCTTTTCTCGGTATTTATTCTGGCCGGTGAATCTATTACGGCCACACGGGTTTATAGATATTGTGTTGTCACGGTACATGGTCGGGATACCATGGCCGATCTTATTGAATTGGGGATGATTGATATTGATGTAATAATGGGGATGGATTTGCTTTATTCATGTTTGCCAAGCTCGATTGCCGAACTAGAACTATGAGACTCGAATTTCCAAATGAGCCGGTGGTCGAATGGAAGGGGGACAATGTGGTACCAAAGGGTAGGTTTATTTCTTACCTTAAGGCTGCAAAGATGATTAACAAGGGGTGTATCTATCATTTGGTCTGGGTCACGGACACCGATGCTGAGGCACCTACCCTTGAGTTTGTGCCAGTTGTCAATGAATTTTTGGATGTCTTTCTAGATGAGCTCCCTAGGATTCCACCGGATAGGGAGATTGATTTTGGTATTGATGTGATGCCAGGCACGCAACCTATATCTATTCAACCTTATATAATTGCACCGGTAGAACTGAAACATTTAAAGGATAAATTGAAGGATTTGTTAGAAAAGGGTTTCATTCGACTGAGTATGTTGCCTTGGGGTGCACTGGTTCCCTTTGTAAAAAAGAAAGATGAGTCGCTACGGATGCATATTGACTACCGCCAGCTCAACAAAGTCACGATAAAAAATAAGTACCCTCTACCAAGAATAGATGATTTGTTTGATGAATTACAGGGTGCTAGGTACTTCTCAAAAATGACTTACGGTCCGGGTATCATCAATTGAAGATAAAGGAGCAGGATATTGCGTAAACAGCTTTCAGGACCCGTTATGGGCACTTTGAATTTCTGGTGATGTCTTTCGGGCTAACAAATGCCCTGGTAGCTTTCATGGATCTTATGCATCGAGTCTTCAAGCCTTTTCTTGACTCCTCTGTAATAGTGTTCATTGACGACATTCTTATGTATTCTCGAAGACGAGAGGACCACGCTGATGACCTTAGGGCAGTTTTGAAGACTCTTCATCAGCACCAATTGTATGCGAAGTTTTTGAAATGTGAATTTTGGCTGGAATCTGTCAAGTTTTTGGGTCATGTCGTCTCCATAGAAAGAATTATGGTTGATCCTCAAAAGATTGCGCAGTGAAGAATTGGCCTAGACCCACAACTTCAATAGAGATTCACAGTTTCCTGGGTTTGGCCGGGTATTACAAGAAGTTTGGGGAGGGGTTCTCTACTCTTGCCTCTCCGTTGACTATATTGACGAAGAAAGCGGTTAAGTTCCAATGGTCCGATTCTTATGAAAGGAGCTTCCAGGAATTTAAATCAAGACTCACTACGGCGCCGGTATTGACCCTGCCATAGGGTTCAAAAGGATTTGTGGTATATTGTGATGCTTCAAGAATCGGGCTTGAGTGTGTGTTAATGCAACATGGCAAGGTTATAGCTTATGCTTCTGGGAAACTCAAGAATAATGAAAGGAACTATCCAACAAATGACCTATAACTTGCGGCAGTAGTTTTTGCATTGAAGATTTGGCGTCATTACTTATATTAGGGTCCATGTGGATGTATCTACGGACCACAAGAGCCTTCAATTTATTTTCAAACAGAAGGAACTGAATCTGAGTTAGAGAAGATGGTTGGAGTTACTCAAGGACTACAACATTGATATTCTATATCACCCGGGAAAAGCCAATGTTGTGGCGGATGCTCTTAGCCGTAAATCTATTGGAAGTTTGGCTCACTTGGAGGCGTATCTAAGGCTGTTGGCCAGGTTGGTTCACTAGTTGGCTAGTTTGGGCTGAATCATCACTTGTGGCGGAGGTCAAATAAAAGCAACACAAAGATCCACTGTTGGTAGAACTGAAGTAGGGGATTCATAAACACAAGACCACAACTTTTTCTCTTGGCATGGATGATGGTGCACTATGGTACCAAGGGCGACTATGTGTTCCAGATATTGATGGTCTTCTGGAAAGAATCATGGTGGAAGCTCACACTTTGAGGTATTTAGTGCACCCAGGTTCTACAAAAATATATCATGATCTCAAGGAAGTCTATTGGTGGAATGGCATGAAGAGGAATGTGGCGGACTTTGTGGCAAAATGTCGAAATTGTAAGCAAGTGAAGGTCGAGCATCATAGGCTCGGTAGGTTGGCACAGTATATAGAAATTCCAATGTGTAAATGGGAAATGATTAATGTGGACTTTGTGGTAGGACTACCGTGCACTCCGCGCAATAAGTCAATTTGGGTTATTGTAGACCGACTCATGAAATTAGCACATTTCTTTCCAGTCAAATCTACCGACGCAACAGAACAATATGCTCAGTTGTATATCAAGGAAATAGTCTGGATTCATGGCACTCTAGTTTCCATCATTTTACGATCGAGGGACTCAGTTCATAGCTATATTTTAGAAGAAATATTATCAAGGTTTGGGTATGCAGGTAAATCTTAGCAAAACCTTCCATCCACAAACCGACTGGCAAGCAGAGCCGACTATTTAGACGCTTGAGGACATGTTGCGTGCTTGTGTTCTTGATTTCAAAGGTAGCTGGGATGATCATTTTCCACTCATCGCGTTTTCTTATAACAACAGCTTCCACGCTAGTATTCAAATGGCACCATTTGAGGCATTATATGGTAGGAGATATAGATCTCCCATTGGGTGGTTCGAGATTGGGGAAGCTGAGTTGATAGGACCAAACCTCGTGCATCAAGCTACGGAAAAGGATAAGATCATTAAGGAGCGGTTGAAAACCGCTCAGAGTCGCCAAAAGTCCTATTCGGATGTTCGTCGCAGAGATTTGGTGTTCGAAGAAGATGAATGGGTATGCCTAAAGGTCTCCCCTAAGAAGGGTATAATATAGTTCAGAAAGAAAGGGGAATTATGTCCGAAGTATGTCGGGCCGTACAGAATCATTCAGAGGATTGGTCAGGTGGCGTACAAGCTTGAGCTACCACCTGAGATGTCATTAGTGCACCCGGTGTTTCATGTGTCTATGCTGAAGAAAGTAATCGAGATCGGTCCGCTATTGTGCCGATTGAGACTATCGGGTATTAAAATGTTATGACTTCAAGTCGTGTTTCAAGTGAAGGCTATTATGCCAAATTGTGTAAGAAATCTAAATGTGCTTAAGACTCTTAATTGCTCATAGGTGTACTAAAAGTGGTGATTAGAGATTATTTGTTGTCGATAATCTATAAAGATGCTTGAAAGTGAAAGTAGTGAGTTTGGGATATAAAGTGTGGACACCGTGGCAAGAATGAAAGTTATACTTGTGGCCAATAGCGCCAATGAAATGAAATGATGTGTGAAATATTATGAAATGAGCCTTGATTCAACTATTTCAAATTGATTCTGAAAATAGAATTGTCCAAAAGCTTATGTACTCAAGTTGTTTACCGTGGAAATGGTAATTACAATTAAATTTTATTATGGGATTCTAAAAATATGTGATATGCCAGTTGTTAAGCAGTTGATGCTATGTATGTGTGACTTAGAAACGAAATAAGAGTTAGGGATAAGGTGATGGTCAAACCGATAGGTTAACACTCGGGGCCTCGAGCTCGCCGATTCCGGGGTCTCGAGGTCGATTTCGGGGCTCGATTGTGAGCTATCGAAGGTAATCAAAGTATGACTAACAATTAGGATAAAATCAAAGAAGTCTCTTTATGGCCAATGATAAGCAATAAATGATGAACAATAATGAAGATTGTAAATGAAAGCAAAAATATCAAGAGAATATGTAAGAGATAACAGAGAATGTTATTTTATATTTCTTGTGAAGCAGCTGAAGCAACAGATGCCCTACAAAATGACGAGGACTTCCCCTTATATAGGAGGGAAATCCCAACATAGTACAAAATACATTAATTACATAGATATGGGGATGGGGCGACTAAGCGACGCCTTGATTTGGGTTTAGAGTAGCCCGCTAGATTGTGTCAGTCCTAGTCGTGTACCTTGGGAACTCCCCATTTCTACCATTACTATGATCATTACTATACTGAGGTCGAGCGTCGAGGTCCCTCGAGGGAAGGTACTCGGCTGTGACCTCGAGCCTTCGAGGTGATCTTACGAAGTGCCTTAATGACGAGGAATTGGACCCTCCGATTTTTTACCGTATACAGATAGTTCCCGCGTTTCTTAGAGAGGAGTGATAAGAAATGATTTTGACATCCAACTCTTTGGACTTCCCGTGATGACGTCATATCGATGATATCATCTTATGATGTAAGCCTTTACGATAACCGGGATGTCCCATGGACTTGTCGTTTCAACATCATTCAATGCGCTGCCGATTCCCATTCTTCAAAGCGACAATATCATCATCGATTTGATTTTCAATAACGCATTGATTGCGTCTGCCGATCGGTCTTTCAAAGGCATTGATGGCATCGTTGGCCATATTATCAGCCCTTATAAATGGCGGTCTTCCGGCACTATCTCTCTGTCCAAGTGCCTTTTCAACCTCTTATCATCACTTTCTCCCTACTGTTCTCCTCCGTTGCTACCCACTATGTTTGGGGTCTATGGCCTTAATGTTATATGGCGACATTCTCATCGGCCATGGCATGGCCTTTTGCCTGGGCTTTCCCTTGCCGAGCGAGACTACATTTTCTTGTTGCTATTGTTACTGTTACTGAGGTTGTTACTACTGTTGTCGTTGGTTTGAGGTGATGAGATAGAGGGGCCGACTTATTTCGACTTAGGGAGACGTTTTGACCCTTACACCGCTGCTCGGGAGAGCGTTCGGACTATACACTGCTGCTCACTCTCCTACCCTGGCCTGGTGCGGCACTTCATCCCCTGGGTTTTCCAAGGGATAAAATGGCACGACCAGCTCTTAAACTTGCATGGCACTATGTCCCAGAAGGTGGACTTGGAGCGGCCGTGCAAGTAGGGTTGGTGCCCGCCGAATCATCAACCTTTGGCTTCGGCGGGCTATGTCTCTTTTTTTTGCTTCTTCCGACTCACTTTCATCTTCTTCCTCTCCTCATTTTCCTCTTTTTCATCTTCTCCCTCGGAGATATTACTCTGGAGGACCGAGATGAGACTCCAGAGGAGGTGGCGGTCGAAGACATTGCCGCCGAGGATGCGAGGAGATGACGCTCGAAGATACGGCTGCCGAGGAAGCACCACTGAGAGTAGGCTAGGCTCTAGGCTTTTACTATACGTGTACCTTTTCGCTTCTTTGTTTCTGTGTATGGACCATTTGCCGGCTTCTGTAATCATATGTAAGGACCCCTCGTGGGCTTCTGTAATTAAGTGTTTTATGAATACAATGACGTTTTCCCAAGTTTATCTTCGATGCCTGCTATATTTTCTTTCATTTGCACTTATGAAGACTCTGAGTGCGTGACCCTATCGGCCACTGCCAATATCGAACCCAGATGCGGGCAATTTTTTTGACCTTTGATTGATTAATACGGCTTCTTGCGGAATCCTTTGCGGTCCCTTGTATCGAGATTGTGTTGGGCCGATAAACCCGGGTCGTCGGGACCTTTACTTCGAGTTGAAAGAAAGTACTGTCTTGAGCCTTGAGATCGTGATTTATCATTTAGACCTCGTGATAATCATCGAGGGGAAGTTTGCTCGGGGGTCCGAGGATAGGGACTGCCTTTAAGATTTCGAGGGCACTCTTCGAGCGGGGTTCGTTCAAACCTGAGCAACCCAGAAACTTGCTTTGAACTTAGTGTAAATAGCCCTAAGGCGTTGTAGATAGATCACGAATGAGGTTTTACCCGAATTTAGAGGGTATCCCGTGATCAAGCCCATAT